CTTGTGGTGTTCGCTCATGATGCACCATGGAGGTAGGACAGCAAGCACCCAAGCAAGCTGGTGCCCTCGACCCTGTGTGCTGGCAGACTAGGGGCTGCGTGTGATAGCGTTTTGATGCACAAGGGCTGCAGCAAGCGTGCAGCGCAATTCCCACAAAAAAGCTTGCAGGTGGACCTCCCGTCTGCATCGTTACCTCGACCAGTCGTGGCACAAGAGACCTGATAGCTACATTTGGCCTACCTCGTGCACCAGGCCATACGAGAGTGTCAAAATGCTTTGGCATATTGAGTAGCACACTCACAGCACGTGTGCAATTATGTGTATAGAGCCTATCCAACGTGCTTGTACTGCTGGAGCCGCCTCATTAAACAATTTACTACCCACCGACGGGCTGGCTAGCATGTGGGAGCGCAAGGCATGCAAACAAGCCAAACCTGAGCCCGCGCGGTTGGTTTCGCTCAAGCAGGTGCCGCTGCTTCCCAGCGCGGGCAGCCTGTCCATGGCAGCCAGCCACTGTGTACAACAGGCCCTGTCGCCCCTTGCCTGCGTGTCCCTTTGCTGGTGCGGCCAGCCACCAGTGGCCTCGACACTACTGGGCGCTTGGAACCACCTACCAGGTTGGGTCTGTCGCTGCAAATGGGGGCGAACAGCCTGCGGGGAATGACGATGCAGCTGCCAGCATTGTCACCGGCGCCCTGCGGCGAGATGGCAGTTTGCAACAAAGCGTTGCACAGAGTCAGCATATCATGTGGTGCGCACACTCAGGCATGGAAGGCGGCAGGTTTTGGGCCTGAGCGCATGGGTGGGGGATGAGGCATCACAGGCAACAAATTAACACTGATTTAAAATGCGGAGGCGACGCGGCATGGTACGCGTGGCGAGGCATCACTGATGCTTGCGTGGGACAGGAGATCGCTGCCGTTATGGGCCAGGGCGACGCAAACACCGCATGACGCCAGAACTGTGGCTCAATCTGCCAGTGCAAGGCGCTGCTACTGCTGCTGCTGCTGCTGCTGCTGCTGCTGCTGCTGCTGCTGCTGCTGCTGCTGCTGCTGCTGCTGCTGCCGCCATTTTGATCGGCGCCGTGATCCGCACCACCCCCGTGCCCCTGGAGACAAAAAAATACGCGTTGCTTGGTCATGGTCCCAAACTCAAACTCAATTGTCGTGTTGCGACTGCTGGACGCAGGGGAGGGGAGCTTGACTAACGGGTTTACCTGATTACTCACATGGTGCAGCCCAGGTGCAGCCTGCAGACGAGTTAAAAGAGTCTTTACACGACAGGAGTCTTTCGGTTGACTACTGCATACTTTGGTCCAAAAATAGCTATACAGTTTGGCCTGAACAATTGACAATGATGCGCGCGCTCGCGGGCGCTCCCAGCCTGCCGGCCCTGCTGGGAGCCTGGAAGGTAACATTGCGCCGCATCCGCGCTCGCTCTTTCACCTCCTGGCCCGTCCAACGCTCTAGTGACCAACATCGTGATCTGAACGCAGGCTGCTGCTGGTGTTCCTGGAGGCGCTTCATGGCTGCAGGTGCATGCCAAATCGCAAGCGATGCTGGGCCTCACCGCCCATGCGGGAACCTGCAGCTGCAGTGCGTACCAATCGAAGTCACGCGCCTGCTCAACGTCCTGCGCTGCTTGCTCTTCGGTGGCGCGAGCGGCGCTGCACACCTCTGCGGCCTCCTGTGACGAAGGCGATGTAGGAGCTGGTTCTAGCAGAATAGAAATTAGCGATGCAAGCAGTGGTAATGGGAGGAGCAGCAGCAGCAGCAGCAGCAGCAGCAGCAGCAGCAGCAGCAGCAGCACGAGCGCAGTCACGCTCACGACTGCAAGCGGGAAGACAAGCAGGACCAGCAACCGAAGTGCTGCTGCCCGCTTGCGGCGGGACCCAGTTACTGGGTATGCGGTGACGCAGCTCGGCGGTGAGCGCACACACTCTGTCGTGGGTTGGGCCAGGGCGCGCTTTTGACATGCGGTTCCGTTTGCCCGCCTCCACTCCCCTCCCATGACCTCATAAACGCCTGGCCTGCTGGCTTGCAGCATCTCCTGCCCACACATACAACTGTACACAAACACACACGGGCACCCACACACACACATACATGCCACACACGCTCAAAGACGAGCTCACGAGGACATGCGCTCGCATCACTCCCCACTCCCCACCTCTCGCGACAGGCATGCAGGCCCCACGGGAGCAGCTCAGGGTTCGCTTGCGGGACGAGTCTGCCGCGCTTGGTGGCGGACCTGAGGGAGGCGCTGATGGCGCTGGTGACGATCAATATGACCTGTTCAGTCTCTCAAGGTCACTCGGGAGCGACGCAGCAGGCGACAGCGCTGCCGCTGGCAGCGGCGCAGCCATGCCGGGCAGTGCTGCAGCCGGCCTGCCTGGGGAGGAACGTCGGGCCCTGGGCCCGGATGAGGCACGCACGCTGTCTAAGCTCGTGGGATGCATCATGAAGGAGGGCAAGCGCAGTCGTGCGCAGCGGATCCTTGGGGATGCGATGCACATTATAAACTCGCAGCTGCGCAAGGGCAGCAGCACGGGGCCGGCTTCGGCCGCAGGCGGCAAGGGCGCTTAGGGGGCCAGGGCGCCTGCGCGGCGTGCTTGCGAGGCGTGCCTGAATGATTCGTGATATCACATGCTTTGCGGCCACTTCCAAGTAATGACTCATGTGCTGAATTCTTTCACCACGACTTCTACGGTGGTGCGGGCCGCCAGTGCCCCTGTGCCGAAAGTCATGAAGCATCCAGGCATGATTTTGTGGGCCGTGCCTGTTCAACCAGCTAGCGCGCTGACACGGCGGCTGTGCTTTGTAGGAGTACATAGAGTATCAACACACCACACGTGCACACACACGTGCACACACACACACCCACCTGAACGTGCACTGCCATGCCATGGGGTATGCGCCCATTTTGGCTTGTTGTGTTTGTGAGGGCAAGCATATGAGTTGGGGGGCATCCAGAGACCCTAGGCTTGTCACACAGGTGCACAAGCATCCAGGGGGCCTGGGAGGCCACGGACAGGATGTAGCCAGGCCAAGCATCTCACCATGTGCTTTCGAGCGAGATTCGATGGTGGTTGTGCAGGTGACCGAGTGGCGGCTCCGTGCGCCTGAAGCTGTGGCATACGTGGCAATCACCGTTGTCACTACACCTGTATTCGCCCCTCCGCAGCCAGAGCCCGGCTGTGAGGCGCACCATCCCCCCGTCTTCACCAGACCGTTCTGCCTAAACCACCCACCCAACCCAGCTAACTCGCCAGTTTCCTTGCGGTATCCGGTCTGCGTGGCGTTCGCCTGTCGCACACACCATCTACACACGCCAGCGACTCTCGCACCTGGAGCCTAGCACACCTCGTGCAGGTGAGCCCTGATCATGCGCCCTGCGCTAGCATAGGGCTGCACACGCAGCAATGAAGGCTCCTTCAAACAGGGGGCGACGGGAGCCTAGCCTGGGAGCCGAGCTTTCCCGCGAGGCAGTTCTTGCCAGCAGCACCGTGAAAGGCGAGGCAGCTGCGAGGCAACTATTACTGGGTCTTACACAGGGGATGCAATCACCTGCACACGTGCCCTCTAAGCGTGGCGGTCCTGCCTGGCCGATGCAGCCCAGCCGCCACATGGTGCCCTTTGCGGCTCGACACGCCGCTTTGTTACAGGCCCACTGTGATACGGCCGTAGATTAGATGGTGGTCATTATTTCTGCAGGATCCCCTCACATCCAGCGTCCTCGCATATCCATTCCATAAGACCTTGTTGCCCACGCGGCCACGCCGCATTTCACAGGCACGCCCAGCGCACCCTTGTATCACAGCGGCGGCAGTGACAACAGCAGCAGCAGCAGCAGCAGCAGCAGCAGCAGCACCACCCAAAGCAGCAGCCATGGCCGACAACCCTATTTGGAAGGCGACGAAGCCGTTTGTGAATGGCGGCCTTAGTGGCATGGCGGCTACATGCATCATTCAGCCCATTGACATGGTCAAAGTTCGCATCCAGCTGGGAGCCAAGGGTGGCCCGGTGAGAACTTGCGATCAGTTGCGTGAGGCGGGATTTTGGGGCGGGGGCGAATTGTTCAGGGGCAGTTTGCAGCCATGATTGCGGCCGGCAATTGCGACTTGTTGTGCGCAGGGCATAGGTGCCAGGGGCAACGTCCATGTGCAGCCCTCTTGCATCCGCTATGTGTTTGATTGTGCGATAACCCTTGTTTGCTCTGCTGGTATGTCTCTACAGAACCCCGCTACTGACCTCAGGCAGCCTGCCGCAGTTGGTGTGGTCTGACGTGCATAAGACGTGATGGGCATCATCATGTGTTGGATCCCTTCTGAGGCACGCCTGTCATGCCCTCCCAACCAGATTACTGTGGCCAAGGACATCATCGCCAAGGACGGCTTTGGCTCCCTTTACAAGGGCCTCAACGCTGGCCTCCTGCGCCAGGCCACCTACACCACCGCGCGCCTGGGCATCTTCTCCATCATTTCCGAGAAGGTGGGCGGAGGGGGGTAGGCAGTGCAGCGACAGGACACGCAGGCAGGACGCCAGTGTCCGTCTCTGGGCCTAGAAGCATGTACGCTTTCTTTGCCGCGCTCCGTGCGCTGCTGGATTATGCATGCTGCTTTCGCCGTGCTCTCTGCTTCGTGCTCACCCCACCTTAACTTGCGACCCCTCCACCCCTCAGGCCAAGGAGTACAATAAGGGCAAGCCCATCCCCCTGTGGCAGAAGGCCGCGTGCGGCCTGACTGCCGGCGGCCTGGGCGCGCTCGTCGGCACCCCTGCGGATCTCACCCTCATCCGCATGCAGGCCGACAGCACCCTGCCTGTGGAGCACCGGCGCAACTACAAGGGCGTGACTGACGCCATGGTGAATGGGTGCCTGAGCTTGGTGGAGGGAGGAAGGGTATGACCCGGTTCGAGGGAGGAAGTGCACTGTCAGCCGGCAGGCAACGAGACGCATGTGGGGCACGCAGGTTCACTCCAGTCAAGTGGGCAGACTCCAGCCTTGCAGATATTTGCAAGTGCAACCCTGCAACCACGCATATCCCGCCGGTTTTGGATTCCTTTGCCAGCTGTCGTCCGACCCCTGCCCCCCGCCCACACAACCCCCAGACGCGCATCGTGAAGGAGGATGGCGTGGGGGGCCTGTTCCGCGGCGGCGGCCCCACTGTTGTGCGCGCTATGGCGCTCAACATGGGCATGCTCGCGTCCAACGACCAGGCCAAGGAGATGCTGGAGGCTGCGGGCTTTGAGAAGGGCGGCCAGGTGGCCGTCATTGGCAGCGCCACCATCGCGGGCTTCTTTGCCAGCGTGTGCTCGTTGCCCTTCGACTTCATCAAGACGCGGCTGCAGAAGATGACGCCCAACCCCGACGGCTCCATGCCCTACAAGGGCCCCGTCGACTGCGCGGCGCAGGTGCTATGGGGTGCAAGGCCAGGGTGGAGTGCATGGGCAGGGTGGGACGACGAAACGGGGAAGCAAACAGCATGGTTTCTGGGACGCTGACATGGGCATGCGCAGGCGCCCAGCTCACCTGGGTGCAGGGTGACTTGCATATTGGGTGAAGACCAACAATTGCTCAAGCATCATGAACCTACAAACTATGGTGTGTCATTCCCCACCTGCCCAAAACCCTCAGACGCTGCGCAATGAGGGTCCCCTCGCCTTCTACACCGGCTTCCCCACCTTCTTTGCTAGGTGGGTCGGTTGCGTGCGCGAGTGAGAGTGTGTGTGTGTGTGTGTGTGTGTGTGTGTGTGTTGGCAGGGTAGGGGAAACGTCAGGTTGGCTGATTGTGGATGCACCCCGAGGCGTGTGCGCTGAACCCTGTGCCCGCCCCGCACTCGGCCCCCTAATGCGTGCTGCAGGATTGCCCCTCACGTCGTCTTCACCCTGGTGTTCCTGGACGCCTTGCCGAAAATCCAGAAGCAGTATGTGCGTAAGCTGGGCTTTGCGCACCTCTGCTGTGAGTTCTTGGCGCTGCGTGCCTTGCTGTTTGCTTGCTGCTGCTCAACAAAAGGATGCCAGCTCAGGATTTCGCTCGCCCTCAGCTGCACAGGAAACTGCCTGGTGCAGGGCTGCCGCCTGACTACCCTCGCCACACCCACCTGCACGCTCGCTCCCAATCAGGGCCTCTAAATCGCAGCACATGGGCGCATTGCTTACCTGCTGGTGTGGTTGTGGAGCGGCAGCACACGCAAGCTTACGCCCAGCATGACGATGGAGGAGACCTGCTTGTCAGGGCCTTATGTTGCCAACGGCAGGGGCGGCTGCTTGATCCATTGCTGAGTGATCTTCCGTCTTGTTTTGTGTTGGTCGGTTTTCACCATTGTAACGTGGACAACTCTTGAGCCTCCAAAGTGCAAGCCCAGCTTGCTTCGGCATACGCTGCAGCAGGCATCATGTTATTGGGGGTTGTATTGTGCTAGCAACAGGCCAGGAGCACTAAGAGCGCAGTCAATGTGGGTCAAGCCCTGTTGCGGGCTGCTGCACTCAGCGGCACTGCCGCACCTGTCCCGCGGTGCGGTCAGGGGTCAGCTGGTATGGCGGCGATGGAGGTGCTGCTTGCAGGCACGTGATGGCGCCCTACAGATGAGTAAAATGTACGTTTGTATACTAGCGCTAATATAGTGCATACTTGGATGCCAACAACCTGGCACTGATCTTGGACACCGGCCCGTCGTCGCGGTCTACTTTGATGAATTAGACAGGTATCGGCAGTGAGCGGGAGGGTGGTGTACATGCTCCTCATCTGCGGTCGTCTTGCATTCGTGCAGGTGCCTCAGCGACGTGGCGGGTGTTGGCGCAGCGGCAAGAGCAGCGCACAAGCATTGAGGTGGGGTGGGGCTGGTCGCCCCCACGGTCCCTGCACCGCAGGCCTTCTTGAGGACAATGACACAGTCACAACATCGACCACACCTGGTTCACTAAAACGGCACCCAGCCGCAGCCGCAGCAGCAGCTGAGCTCAACAGGGGCGCAGCAGGGCTGCACGCTCTAGGATCGTTGCCGGCGCTGCCATGGCGATTGCAGCCTTCTACTGGCTGACTTTCGCGGCGTTCTTTGTGCCGGCGGTGGCTTTGGAGCTGGGCCATGGATCTGGGCTGTTTGGCGGCAAGGGCGCAACGGGTGGCAGCGCGCGCGCCGGGCGTGATTATGCGCGGTTCAGGGACAACTACCTCGTCGTGTTCGCTCTGATGATGGGTGAGTGGGCTCGCAACAACAAGCCTTGGAATCTTGACAGTCATGCATGCTGTTGCGAGTGCTTGTGGATGCAGAGAAGCCATTGGATAGCAGCAGCAGCAGCAGCAGCAGCAGCAGCAGCAGCACTGTGGGGGGCTGCATAGGCAGCCCCGGACCACGCTCTCTCAACCCTTCATGTACATTACCCACCGAACCCCCGCTTCCTGACCGCTGCAGCGGGTGACTGGATGCAGGGGCCTTACATCTACCACCTGTACGAGCACTACGGCTTCTCAGTCCGCGACATAGGGCGGCTCTTCATCATGGGCTTTGCCAGCAGCGCGGTCTTTGGCACTGTCGCGGGCGCACTCGCAGACAAATAGTGAGCCCTACGGCAGACATTACTAGGGCTGTGGCGGCAGCACACGCTGTCCGGTTGACGTTCAAATGTGGGACGCACGGCCACAGTAGGGGCCGGCGATTTGTGCGGCTGCAGCACCGAGACGGCCTGAGTCAGCCTCGAAGAGCCCGCCCTCCCCACCTCCCCACTTCCCTGCATGTCTTGAGCGCACCCTGTCTGATGCCGTGTGCATGCGCGGCTGCACTCCCCCCCCCTGATCCTCCAGCGGCCGCAAGCGTGCGTCCCTGCTGTACGTGCTGACCTACTCGGCCTCCTGCGCCACCAAGCACTCGTCAAGCTACGACGTGCTGCTCCTGGGCCGCCTGCTGGGGGGGGTGTCCACCAGCCTGCTGTTCAGCGTCTTCGAGGCCTGGGCCGTGGCGGCGCACTTGAACCGCGGCTTCGACGAGTCACTGCTGGTGAACGGCTGGCGCGTGATGCTCACAGGACATGGGGGCCGTTCGCTGGTCTAGCTGTTATCCCGGATCCAGGCTGTAACGCAGGTCTTCCCCACCCTTAAACCATTGCTGGCGCTGGCCCCCGACTCCCCCATGTCCTCCAGCTCCTCCACTCCCCACCGATGTCCTGTCAATGCGCCCCCCTCCCCTCCTCCAGGCTGACCTGTTCACCAGGGCGGTGATGCTGGGCAACGGGATCATGGCCATCGCCTCAGGCCTGGTCGGCAGCTGGCTGGTGCAAGGCCTGGGGCTGGGGCCCGTGGCGCCTTTCGATGCAGCTATACTGGTGGGGTTTGGGAGCCCCAGGGTGGATGATGCCATGTATGCAGGGATGGGGGGCGCGGGACGCGAGGCAGCTGCTGCAGTGGCACTGTCGGCGTGGGGCTTGGTGTGCTGTTGGCGCACTTGCTTTTCAGGTGCCAGGCGGCTGCGATAGTAGACTCCTGCGGTATCAAACCCGCCTGCCTGCCCCCCCCCCCCCATGCCCCCGCAGGTGATGCTGGTGGGCGGTGCTATTGTGGCTTGCACATGGGACGAGAACCGCGGCGCTGCTGGGGAAGAGGGGGGTGGCAGCCTGACTCGACAATTCTACTGTGCAGCAGTGACGATAGCAAAAGGTGGGCTGCGACAAGGACACCGGCTGGGTTTGATCTGCAGGCACGGATTCTTTCGCCACTCCATCACGTATTCAATGCTGAACATTGAGTCGCGCGCCCCACATGCGCGTGTGCACTGCATGTTTTTTACACGCGTGCGCGCGCACACACACACACACACACACACACACACACCAGTGCGTATGCGCACCCACTTTGCTTTTGTGTTGTGCATCTTTGATCGCAGACGAGCGTGTGGCGCTGCTGGGAGTGATGCAGGCGCTGTTCGAGGCATCCATGTACACGTTTGTGTTCCTGTGGACACCGGCCCTCAACCCTCACACCTACGTGCCAGCCGTCCACACATCCCCGGACGCCTCTGCCGCCCTCAGCACCGCAACTATGCGTGCCCTCGCACCAGACGGCCGCTCGCTCGCGTCTGCGGGGGCCGCCCTTTCAGCCGAAGGCGGGGGCGGCTCCAGCCCCCAGCTGCCCCACGGCCTAGTGTTTGCTATCTTCATGACGGCATCGATGGTGGGCACAGCGCTGGCGGGGCGGCTGATGGCCACATGGCGGCTTGAGGTGGTGCTGCAGGTGGGCGGTGGACAGGAGACGGGGTGCTTTGGCAAGTCACTGCGTCGAGCACAGACACATGGGGTCACACGGATCAATCGCGTTGGTATGCAAGGTATGGGATGGCGAGCATGGTCCAAATGCTGGCTGACGGGGTGTGCCCCTCACGTCCCCGCGGGCCCCTTGCTCCGCTGTGCAGGGTGTGTTCTGGGCGGGCGCCGCGCTGATGTCCGTCCCTGTGATGTACCACACGCGTGTGGCAGACCACGCCTTACCCAGGGACGTCTTCGAAGGCGAAACGCACCCCCTTGAGGCACACCACCAGGGGAGCCCCTCGCCAGGGTTGGCGGGCGCCGATCTGCCCCCGGCGCAGCTGGATGCCGGCGGACGGGTGCAGCTGCTGGCGTTCTGCGGCTTTGAGGTGGACGGCCTGGGTGTCGGCTGGGGCGAGGGAGCGGTGGACGCGTCAGACTGCACGTAGGGCCATGGCGCGATGCATATGGGTGACGCCAAAGACATCTCAGTTGTGTGGACCGCACGCACCAGCCCACCCTGTGGTTGCAGTCATTCCCGAGCGTGCAGGGCGACGCCGCCCCCCCCACAGCTCCATCCTGCGCCACCCCTCCCCTCCCCGCCCCTCAAGGTGCTGATCGGCCTGTTCTGGCCATCCATGATGGCGCTGCGGGCACGCTACGTCCCTGAGGACCAGCGCTCCACCATCATCAACATCTTTCGCATACCACTCAACACATTCGTATGCATCATACTTTGGAAGGTGCGCGCGGGACAGGCACTAGCCGCACCCAGAGTGCGCATCATGCCTGCGTGCTGGTGGGGTGGCGGCTTGGAACCGTGCATACAAGATCTGCGGACCACACTCAGCCTAGCTGAAAGCATTATACACATTCCCAGATGTCACCACCTGCCTTCAGCCCTGCTGCGTGCCTCTTGTCCCCCGGCCCTGCACGACCTGGCAGGTGAGCGACTTCCCCCTGGGCGTCATCTTTGGGCTCTGCTGCTTGTTCCTGGTTGCAGCGGCCTTGGCACAGGCGCGCCTGGCGGCCATCACGGCTCACAACGTCCCGACTACGCGGCCGGGTAAGCAGCCCTTAAGCCCGCCGGACAAGGATGGCGGCGGCAGCGGCAACAGCCTGGAGACGCTGCCTTTTGCTATGGCGCTCCACGGGGATGGCAAGGGAGCGCAGCCCGCTCACGGGCCCAAGGATGTGGGCAGGGACGAGGGGGGTGCTGTCAACGGGACCTCTCGCGCTCATACAGCGGCGCACAATTTCGCTGGCGCGGCCGCCTCCGGCAGCAGCAGCGTAGTGAAGGGACCACCGGCGGCTGCAACAGGGGGCGATGTGGCGTCCCCAGGCAGCTCAGCAGCAGCAGCGGGGGTGTGCAGGACGCCTCACGGCGGATCCCATAGAAGGCCGCACGGGCCCATTTGTTGCGGCCGTGAGCGAGAAATCCACACCTGTTCGCAAGTGGGTGCACAATCTGGCATACCCCTCACTGCCTGAGCAGCTCACCTGCAGTAGCAGGGACCGCCTCGGCCCTAGCATGGAACGCAATTCATGGGGCCACCCTCAAGTGGGCCCTGCAGCTGTTGCCGCGCGCCGCAGAGGCGCAGCCATCATTCTTGGAGCGGCCCTTGTAAAAACCGTACGTGTGGTATGCTTGACACCTCAGGTGGCAGCGCAAGAGTGCGTGGGGGACGCAGATTTAGTTGCGCGAGCCAGACTGCGAGTTGACCGCACAAGGTCAACAATCCGAGTGAAAGGTCACGATCTCCACAAGAACAGGATCCTCTTTGGTTGTCCCTTTGCAGTGCACCCTGGGCGTCAAAACACGCGTGGCTGGATGGCCTCTGCGTGCTGCGCTCTGCTCGTGCTCAGCACAAGCAGTGAGTTCGCGTTTGTGTGCCAGCCACGCCGCCACTTGCCGCTGGTCGTCAGCCAGGCCCAGCTTTGGCCCTCTACATATCAACATGCTCTTACGCAGACACAACCGTAGCGAAAGCGGCGTTCCGCGCCACTGGCCGCATTGCGTCTCTGGGCCTTCTCGTTTCGAGTCACCTTTCTCGTGCCCACAGCGCTGTCTCGCCCTCTTTTCGGGGCTGCTGGAAATCAAGCAGGTGTGCTTTGGCCCACGACTATAACTGCGCCTGGCCACTTCGCGGGTTTGCAGCAGATCGGTGCTTGCTTGGGCGGCGTGCTGCTGGGGTCTCCACGACACCCTCCCGCGCAGCCTTCAGCTTTCATGATGCATGAACCGCTTTGTGCCAGCTCGTGGTGCTAGAGGGCGCGCCGTCCACCGCGACTGCTGCTTTGCCCCACGATGGCGGGGCTTGCAGTGTTCGTTCGTGCCGGCTTCGCAATCTGTGGACCTCGAGACAGCGATTGGAGCAAGACCGTCCACGCCGGTTGTAGAGCAGCTTGCGCACGGCCGCCACGTTGGGTGCGGCAGCAGCGACAGCAGCGGCAGGGAGCGATCGCCGCTTCTTCTGGCCGTCACGTGGCTGTGCCAGGAGCTGACGGCTGGTGCACGCCCCTTTAATCCACAGGCTCGGCTTCAAAATGGCAGCGGCGAGGCCTCTCGTGACTGTGCAGGGCCTGGATGGCGCTGCGGGCGAGCAGTCGGCGCTGCCCGCGGTGTTCACCGCCCCGATCCGGCCCGACATCGTGCGGACCGTGCACACCAACATGGCCAAGAACAGCAGGTGTGTGGTGGTGCCGCGGGATCCAGCAGGTGCATACCTTTGTATTGGCTTGATGCCCAGAGCGGCGGTTTGGGCGCCGCCACTCAAGGCTATGTGACCTTCTGCATCGAAATGTAGTGGGTGCGCCCGCCCTCCTCTTCGCAGCATTGGTGCACTGGTGCACCGGTGCAGCAGTGGTAGCAGTGAAGCAGCGGCTCAAGAGTCAGATGATTGCTGAACGGCATGGTTGCACCTCGGCCCACGCTCCCCGCAGGCAGCCGTACGCTGTCAGCATGAAGGCGGGCCACCAGACCGCGGCTGAGTCGTGGGGCACTGGCCGTGCCGTGTCGCGTATCCCCCGCGTGCCCGGCGGTGGCACGCACCGCGCTGGCCAGGGTGCCTTTGGCAACATGTGAGCTCACATACCTGCTGCAGAATGGGACTTGTGGGGGTTGTTTTGCATGGGACCTGCCAGGTACTGGTGGTGCTGGTGCTGCTGGAGGGTGGTGAGCCGTCACAGTCTTCCATGGACGCCCTCCCCTTGACCCCTTCTGAATGACCAGGTCCGTTTGCGTCACCGTTGCACCCTGCTTTACCCCCCCCCCCACCCAGGTGCCGCGGCGGCCACATGTTTGCGCCCACCAAGGTGTGGCGCCGCTGGCACCGCAAGATCAACGTCAACCAGAAGCGCTACGCCGTGGCCAGCGCGCTGGCGGCCAGTGCTGTGCCGGCGCTGGTGACTGCGCGCGGCCACCGCATCGAGCAGGTGCCTGAGGTGCCGCTGGTCATCAGCGACGCCGCCCAGAGCATCACCAAGACCTCCAAGGCCGTCGAGGTGCGCCCCCTTGGGAGGGGTGGGGGGGGGGGTGCCGTAGCCGGCGTGTCAGTGCAGAGGGACGGCGCAAGGGGTACTTGCGTTGCGCCGACGGCTGGTTGAGGCAGCAGCGACTCGGCAGCAGCAGCGCCAGGCGGGGCAGTTGCTGTCCAATATCAATGCCCGTTGGCGGCAGGATTGAGCACAAGGGTCGCGGGTTGCGCAAATAGCAGCGCTGGGCCCCGCAGGTGGTGCTGTGCGGCAGTCATGGCAGCAGAGCTGACGCGGATCCTTGCACGCCGTGCCCTTCACCCCTTCCAGGTGCTCAAGGCGGTGGGTGCCCTGCCCGACGCCACCAAGGCGCGCGACAGCAAGGCGCTGCGCGCCGGCAAGGGCAAGATGCGCAACAGGTGGGGCTCTTGTTGCAGCACTGCCGTGCGCCCTGAGCTGCTCGTTCCTGTGAGGAGCGCCATCACGCCGCCTTGCCCTGGCGCAGTGCTGCTGTAGACCGGGCCAGCTGTGTTTGTGGCGCACCCAGGCCACAGCGCCACCTCCACCTCGACCCGCCTTCGCCCCGCCCTCGCCTCCCCACCCCCAAGGCGCTACACCCTGCGCAAGGGCCCCCTGGTGGTGTTTGCCAGCGACGACGGCATCAGCAAGGCCTTCCGCAATCTGGCGGGCGTGGAGGTGGCCAGCGTGGAGCGCCTCAACCTGCTGCAGCTGGCGCCCGGCGGCCACCTGGGCCGCTTTGTGGTGTGGACCAAGGGCGCGTTTGAGGCGCTGGACAGGGTGTACGGCACCACCACCACGGCCTCGGAGCAGAAGAAGGGCTACAAGCTGCCGCGGCCCATCATGGCCAACGCTGACGTGGCGCGCCTCATCAACAGCGACGAGGTGCAGAGCGTGGTGCGGCCGCCCAAGGAGGCGGCCATCAAGAGCCGCCCGCTCAAGAAGAACCCCCTCAAGAACCTGGGCGCCCTCGTCAAGCTCAACCCCCACGCCATCGTCACGCGCCGCAACGCCGTCCTGGCTGCCGACCGCCGCGGCAAGGCGCGCGCGGAGAAGCTGGCCAAGCTGCGCGCGGGCGAGCCCTCGGGCGCGCCCAAGAGGAGCAAGGACGCCGCCGCTGTCGGCAAGGCCTTCTACAAGCAGCTGGTGTGCATGCCTGGGGGTGGCTTGGCCTGTGGAAGAGCACGGGCTGGCGCCAATGCGGTGCAATATGCCGCACTATTCTTTGCCTTGATGACGAGAGGCGAGCTTGACGGCCTTTCGCCAGCCCATAACCACTCTAACAACTGTGGCTTATGCCGTGCACCCCCACGTTCATACATTTCCAACTTGAGAACTGGCAAACAGCTCGCCGCCCTCACTGTGCCCCTCGCTTACTCACACCCCCCACCCCCACCCCCACCCCTTTTCCCCAGATCGTGGACTCGGAGTACCAGGGGGAGGACTACGAGGTGTTCTCCAAGTGGCTGGGCGTCAGCGAGTAGGAGAAAGCAGGCTCAGGGGGGGGTGGCGGCACGAGCGGCCCGCGTATAGCTGCCGCAGCGGGGCCTTTTGCAGCGCCGGCGGCTTGAGTGTCTGGTGTGCAGGCTTGTCTGCCTCGGCTCTGCTGCGCGAGGCGCGCTGGTGGTTGGTTGGTCGCGAGGTTGTAACATGTGCCCAAATAGTCCGCCGCCCAGGCAGATGTTCCAGGTGTTCGTGTGGGGGCCGTCACTGTTGAGGGGTTGCTGATTACACACAAATGACAAAGGGCAGGACCAACCATGAGTGCTTGCCATTTACCGCACCGGCCGCGCAAGGTTGCCTGACTATTCATGCAGCTGCGCATGTTGTGCTGCAGCCACAGTTTGGCAGTGATGTTCTTGATGGTATGTGCAAGGATGGAGCTGACACAGCTGAATAGCATCCAAAAAAATCCGACGAAAGAAAACTCGACCCTGAATGCTGTAAAAGTGTGCGACGCCGGTCGAACAAACCAAGGGTGGCCTCTCAGGCAAAAGCCTGTCATCGGCAATGCTGCCACGCAGGCCACTCTACACCACCAGCTCCAGCTTGGGGCTGTCGCCTGGTGTGAACGCCACCTCGCCACTCAGCAGCCGGCCCCCCACCATCATCTCGTATCGGTAGCGCCCGTAATAACCCTTGAATTTCAGCGGACGGGGCTGCTGCTGCTGCTGCTGCTGTTGCACTTGGGGAGCATCAGCCAGCGCCTGCGGCACACCAACCGAGACGGGCAGCGCCTGCCCTGACAAAAGGGGGGGAGCCTGCACAACTGCGGACGGCACGCCCAAGAGGGTGCCCAGGATAGGGTCGATTGAGGTGTGGATGCTGACATCAGCAAGGAGAGGGAGCTGCAGGAGGCCCAGGGAGCTGGCGCTCTTGAGCACCCGCCGCCCGTGGTGCTGGGCCAGCATCTTTCGCGCCGGGCCGATGCCTGTATGGACTGCATCCTGCGAGTTCGACTGCGCCACAGGGAGAGAGGGGCTCTGTGCCGGGGCTGGGGCGCCCAGTGCTGGGGGCTGCGCAGTGACGTTGGCCTCGGGCGCGCCGGCAGTCGGCGTGAATGCGGCAGCCCCCTCCAGGGGCGCAGCCTCCAGGTTGGTGATGGTGGTGTTGTGGGTCTCCGAGAAAAACTTTTTGAGGCGCAGGGCTGCTGGTTTGGGTGAGAAGTCTGAGCGGAAGATGCCGCCATGCTTGATCCAGATGTTGCCATCCCAAAAACCCCACAGCATCAGGCCCTGAAGTGCAATAGGATTGAATTGAACATTGGCAGGTACGGGCACATGTCCACGGCTTAAAGCGCACTGCTCCTAGGGTTGAGTTACCATAACTGCCGCCAGTCTGTTTGCCAGCAGCATTGGTGGTTCCCATCTGCGCTACCCTCCCCCACCCAGCCCCGCCCGCGATCCCGTCCCTGCCCCCTGCCTGGCTGCCTCCATGCTTACGTGCACCGAGGGGTGTGAGAAGAATGTCTTGACCAGCTCCTCCAGCCGTTCAGCCTGCTCATCCTCACTCATCTCATTGACCGGCGTGCCTCGCTCCCACCTGTTGCCAATCAGGGGGCCGTTGGATGCGGACCCGAGTGGGCGCATGCTCGCGGTTGCTGTCAGCCATGCAGGCCTCTGTCAAGGTGCAATCTTCCACTGCTGCAGTCGTCAAACAATTTCAGCCAACCTGAGTCCAGCGGACACTGTTACTCCCACATGCCTTGATGAGAGGGAGAATTCCGTGATGTAGAGGGGCAGGCCGGTGGCCCCCATCTCGTCGAGACGACGGTAAATGGCCTCGCGCTGGGCCCCCCCAGCCGTCAAGTGGGCCTGCGGCGTGCAGGCACCAGGGCGCCCAGCGGGCGTGTGAGCGGGCAAGGATGCAGAACAATTGTGCAACCACAGCTCAACCATCCCTGATGACCCCATGGGGCCGCTGCGCACCTGGACGCCGAGGCAGTGCAGGGGTGCTCCTGCACTCAGCAGATTGTTGGCAATGTCCACAAAGCCCTGCCAATTGTTGCCCTCCAGCACAGCCCACTCGTTCAGGCACTGGGTTTTTGCAAAGGGCAGGGGCAAGTGGGGCTTCTTGCAAACAGTCAAACAAAGGGGCAGACAGGTTTCATCATTTGCAGGGTGGAGAGTACCCCAAAGAGCAGCCAGGTAGGAGAGCCCCGTTTCCAGGGCCGCTGCCTTGCCTTACCAGTTGCGCTTTTGGGTCGATTTGGGCTGCCAGCTTGTACATGGCCGGGAGCGATGTGTTCATGAGGCCGCACGCCTTCATCATGGAGTTGGTCTCAACCAGCTGAGGAAGGTTGTGATTGGTGAAAAGGGAGCCATCAATCATATATTGCGCGAGTGTTTATTAGTGTTGTATTCATGGGCATCACAATGCAGGCGGCACCCGCAATGCAAGCGATGTCGCTTGCAGTGGGGTGTTGTGAGTTTGTTGAGCGGGCTGACAATCAGTCCCAAGGATTGCCAGCCCTCTGCTCGCCAACCAATCTCCCATACACATGGGGGCCATGGGACTCTCACTTCATTGAACAGGTCGTATTGGGTGAATGAGCCCTTGAACAGAGCCAAGTCCCGGCGGATGCGACCCTCTATGGCCTGGGGGACAGGAGAGTGCAGGAGGCGGTGGGAGAGCTATGAGCCGTACAGAAGGTCACGACAATATCATGAGTTGGCTGGAGTTTAATAGCAGCTGGTTGATGCGAGAATCGCGGAACCTGTAGTTCCAGTTGACCTGAATCCCAGTCACGTAAATCTTCAAAGTCCAACCCCATGAGCATGGATGTCTCCAGAAGCGGGCAACCGCAGGACGATGTAACATCCCAAACTGAAACCTTCCGGGCTTGCGAATGCGCTCCACCCCGCCCTTTGCCCCCACCCTTGTGCCCCGCCCATCTGGTCCTCCACACCTTGACGTAGAAGTCGCAGTCCCTGCTCCTGACAGACCAGTGGCCCTTGTTGCGGCCAGACATCATCTGGTTGTAGGAGTCACCCCACTCTGTGCGCAGGGCAGGGGGAAAAGCATGGATCAGATAAGGACCGCTCACAGCGTGAAAGATGTGTCCCAAACCACGTCCAGCGACATGGCAGATGCTCAATGGATGATGAGGGACAACGGCCCACGTATGGTAACAACAATCTCCTCACCGATGGTATGGCCTCGCACCAGCTCCATGCTACGGCAACAGAGGTGGTCGCAAGCAACGTGGTCGGGGCCTGTTTTTGGAGCTGTGCAACCGGACACAGCCGCATCCTGCATGCCCAGATCATCTGAGGGTTCAGAGTTACGCAGTCTCAAGATTGCATCCCCTGCCCATTGGTGATGGGGCGCATGCGTTAACACATGCCCCCCAACCTGTTGTTCTGTGCCAAAGTAATGTAGTCGCGCTTGATCAGCGCCTCACCCGCCTGGTAGTTGCCCTGCTGCGGCTCGTAGTTGTACCACTGAGGAGGGTGCACGCACCGCCACAAACAATTTGGAAGAGCAGGGGAAGCAGTCTTTCAACACAAGGTGCGATTACCGGCGTCCGCGTCACATGAGGCACTGGCGTTTTCGCCCCACCGATAATCGCTTATGGTGTGTGTGCCCCACATTCAACAACAGCGCGGCTCACTTTGAAGGCGTTCTCCGGTACAAGGGACCAGAAGTTCTCGCCAATCAGGCGTGTGTAGTTGCTGTTTGTTCGATGGGGGTCAGTGCAGGCAGGACAGGGGGCCGGGGTTGGGGGGCGCTCCTGCAAATAGACCAGCTAGTTGCACTCCGTCGCGCAGCATTTCACCATGCAATTCGCCAAACTCCAATGGCAGCTGAGCGGATCACGACCGGATCACTGCCTTTGGCGCACACCTGGTCACATCGTCTCCAAACCTCTTGCGAACCATCTCTGGTGCCACAGCAGCCCCCAGCACAAAGTGATGCCGCACGAGCGTCATGTTGACGCCGGTGGCCGCCACTGGCCGCCCAAATGCGTCCACGACGGACACCTCGAACTCGCCCTTCCGATGTGCGGCGGTGCGGGCGTCCATGGCAGCAGGCTGGAGCGCCGCGATGGTCGTGTCCAGGGGCTCCTCGGTCAGCACCATACCCTTGAACTCATACCTGAGAGAGACAGGGGACAGCCAGGGGTCGGGCAAGTGGTGTCAATTCAGTGCTGCATTCTCTCGTGCACGCTTGTGTCCAGAGAAGGAGCCATGCAGTGAGCAGGCTCAGGGTGCAGCCAACCATGACGTGGAGGCTGCCCATTCCTCACCAGCCCTGGTGCGCCCCGCAGTGGACCTGGGCACTCCAGTTCCCATCGACTGCTGGCATTGCCAGCCGCAGCGAGAAGCGCTGCCACTCGGGCTGCAGGTCCAGCGCCACTGCCGCACCCGGGACGTTCCTGCCTCCAGACATGTCGCGCATCACCGCGCGCGCCGTGCCATTGGGTGCAGCGCTGCGGGCGCTGAACTCGAGGCTGTAGGCACGGCCAGCGACGACGGGCACGGTGGAGCTGCGAAGCTGTGCCCGCCACGCGTCGTCACTGGTAGTGCTCGGCTCCTCGACGTTGCCAAACATGGCGCCCTCTGAGCTGACCATGGCGGCCAGGCCAGATTCATCAGCGCTGCGGGAATGGGTGCTGAAGCCACGGGGCAGGCCCGAGGGGTCTGGGTGCAGCGTGAACAGCCAGGAGACGTCCCTGATCTCGGTCGCAGCGGCGGACACGCCCACGGTGTACGCGGCGCCAACCGCCAGCATCAGGAGGACTGCTCGCATGATTATGGAGGTCTAAGTCGTGTCTCTCGCTGCAGGCGTAGGGCTGGCCACTGCTGCGCGGCTGGACACACTGCAGTAGTGGGGGCGGCTGGCTGTTTCGCCGCTGCCGTTGATGTCGGTGTCTGCGGATACCTACTCCACGAATCCGAAAAAGTTTTTCAGCTGAGATCTTAGGGGTCGTTCGACATATAGGATTCGCCGGCAAGCGATGTCCTGCCGGTAGGTAGACCGCTCTTGACAGCGCGACACCACAGCGCGCGCGGGTCTGTATACATGCCAACGGTTCTAGACGCACAGTACAAATATGTTGCGCTCAACCTCGCATTCTGACCAACTATCTGCACGTCGCTTGGCCAAGTTGCCTTCTGAGCTGCCTGTGAGCGGTTTCTTTGTGTTGGCAATGGCCCATGTGTACCAGCCTCGTCAGGTCACCGACAACTCTTGAGACTGCGCTTCTTTTGAGCGCCTGCTTTTTGAAAGGCGGTGCAGCATAAGATGTTTTACAATGCAATTATGTCAAGATGTGCCAGTCACTGGCAAAATCGCTGCACTCAGCTGGCAGCTGAGGTCAGCATACAAATGCCTGCGATGATATCGTGTTGGGTTTGTGTCAAATGTGCAGTGATGAAAAGTTGTCCGAGTGTGCAATAAAGTGACTATTGGAGATTAGGAGTCGCAGCGGGGCGGACATACAAGGGGCCGAAGGACGTTACTGTATTTCTGGAAAAATGTGCGTGGGGGTGTTGAGACTTCAAGTCGCACATGCAAGCTGGGAGTGCAGTCTGATGGAGTGGTCATCAGATTCTTGTGAGGCGCATTTGATGTTGGCGCTGACCATCGTGGCCGTCACTGCAGCGCCAGGTGGTCCGCCACAAAGTCGACGACGTCGTGCCGCGCGGTGCGCGCAAACAGGCCGCCGCGATTGATCACGGCCGCGTGCGACCGCACATTGCCGCAGTCCGCATCCACGTGCAGCCATCCGAGCTTGCGCAGCCGCTTGGCGATCCACGCCTGCTGCTCGCCAAAGCCGCCCTCCAGCACGGCCCCGTCGTGGTCCTCAGGGGGGGAGGCCTCCCCCGACAGCAGCTCCGCGCGCCGCGCGTCGCCCACGGCGTCGAGCGCGTCGCGCAGCTGCAGGTCGTCGGGGCAGGCCAGGGTGAAGCTGCCCCCGCTGGGGGACGCGGCGCCAGATGACAGGGGGCTGCCGCCATGGTAGCTGCCACCTTGTATGCTGCCGCCATGGATACTGCCGCCATGGAGGCTGCTAGCGTCGCTGCCAAGCGCAGGAACGGGCCCGCCGCCGAGGCCCGGCCATTGCCGCGGCTGCGCAGCGTGGCCGGCGGCACGGTCGCTGCTGGTAAAGCTGCCCCCTGTGCTGGTGCACGCAGCGCCATCTGCGCTATCCACACTGCTAGCAGGGCGCGGCACGGCAGCCTGCGACGCGAATGGCGAGAGTAGGTCCTGGTTCCAGTTCGAAGCAGCCACCCCCGCCGCCGGTGCTGCACGGTGACTGTGCCCTTGCTGGCGCTGCGGGTCCCGCTGTTGGGGCTGCTGCTGCTGTTGCTGGGAATGCTGCCAATAGCCTCTGTGCGTCGGCGATAGCGGGGGCGATGATCGCAGACCCAGCGGCGACCCCGGCTGTACTGGGGGGTGCAGCAGTGCCTGCAGGCCGCTGTCCTGCTGGCGCAGTGGTCGCGACTGCACAGATGGCTGCAACGCCAGGGGTGCTGCTGCAGAGTACTGCACCTGCAGGGACTGCCGCGCCCCAAACGACGGAGTGCGCCATGACAGCGCCGCAGACAGCATGGTCATCATCGACCAATTGCTGCCGCTACGCAGCAGCGCCGCGCCCTCCCCAGCCGTGTCTGCAGGCTGCCAAGACGCCTCATCTCTCTGGAAATCAAAGCCGCCGCCGTGACCCTCCTCAGGGACAGATGCCATGCCGCCGCCGCTTGCGTCCGCGCGCGGCCCCAGCAGCGCTGGAGGCCGCCCGATGTCCAGCGACTTGCGCCCTGCCAGCCAGTCGGATGCCCCCGCAGCCACCGCGCTCGCAGCCGGCCCCAGCTGCCCCGGCGAAGCAGGGCCCCCATCCCCGCCGCTGCCGGCCCCACTGGCGCCGCCGCCGCCGCTGCCGATGCCTCCGCCGGGCACCCCGCTTCTGAGCCCCTCTGTGAGCCATGGTGGTGGGCCCCCAGCGTGCTGTACAGCCCCCCCACCGCCGCCGCCCAGGGCGTGGCCCCCGCGGTTGCGGGAGGCACCCGGCCCAATTCCCAGGTCAAGCGACACCATGCGGCTCACGGCTCCCTGCAGCCGCTGCAGCGCCAGCATGGGGTGGCGCTCTACCAGCCAGCGCGCGTCAGGGGCGCGCGCGGCCGCAAAGCGGTGGTGCACCAGCGTGGATGTGACATAACCAACATACAGGACAGGCAGCAGCGGCAGCAGGGCGGGCGCCAGCGCGGCGGCGGCGAGCACGCCCGTGCCGACGGCCGGGCGCGAGCGTGGCGGCAGCTCGCCCTCGAGGGCGGGGCGCACGACAGAGGGGTAGCGGGGGTCGCACGGCACTGGGGCTGCTGACAGGTAGGGGTTGGTCATGGACATGGCGGCGGTGCAGTAGGGCACGCTGACGTCATTCCTGGGGTGGGGGCCAACAACCAGGGTGCGGGTGTCGGAGTGTTGGTTTGGGCACATGCTGGCATGCGCTTGGTGAGATCCCTGAAACAAGAGAATTGCTGACAGACAGGGACAGGATCTGGCAAGAGCGGCGAGCATGGGCGGCAAGTCACAGCTGTGCCAGCGGAGTCAGACAACCAGGCTTGCACCCCTGCACTTCTTCGCCCGGGTGCCTCGGGCACCGCCACAGGGTGCAACCGCCCACTTTATGTTTGCGACACGTATGCGTCTTCGAAACCGGGCCAGGCCCTCGTAAAAGGGACCGCTGGGGTGCGCCATGAGCACCAGCAGCGGCGCAGGCCGGCCCTCCAGGCCCACGCTCCGCCGGGACCGCCGGGCGGCGCGCACGCGACCGCTGCCGCTGGCATCGCTGCCTTCGTCGTCGGTGCCGCCGCGTGGGCTGCCGCCCGGTGGGCTGCCGCCAGCGGAGGTCCCGCTACGCGGGCTGCCCCCGCTCGGTGTCATCCCGCGCCTGGGGCTGCGGCCACGCAAGGGGCTAGCGCCCCGCGGAGTTGCAGGGCTGGTGCCCTCCCCGCCAGCCGTCTCGAAAGGCCAGGGCCTCCTCGTCCTGGCCGGCTGCGCTTCACTCCCGCCCGTCCTACTGCCGGCGCTGTCGCTGGCCGTGCCGCCCCTCCTGCCGCCGGGCAGCGCAAAGCGCCTGTCCAGGAGCATCAGCTGGTGGCCGGACCGCGACGCGACGAGGGGCACGTGGGCGTTGAAGATCCGCGCCCAGAAGCCCATGCCCACGGGCTCCCTGGCGGGACCGGGGTGAGGGGTTGGGGGTGAGCTTTGTCAGAGGTGAGGGGGGGGTGAGACGGTGGAGATGTGGGCATGAGCAGGGCGGAGAGGAAGAGTGGCAGCAGGGGGCAGCTTGGTGGGGAGGCACAGGTAGGCGAGCGCTCACAGTTTGCGCAGGGGAGGGGTGGTGTCGTCTCAACGCCCTGCAGCTACACCGCGCTGCAAGGCGCCCTACCAGCCTCGCGTGGCATCGTATCATGTCCCCACCTGAACGACCCCAGGTGGGGTGAGGCGATGCTGATGTAGTTGGCCGCCGCCACCGACTCAAAGTAGCCCAGGGCCTGCAGCTTGCCAATGGCATACCTGAGGGGTAAGAGTGTGTGTGTGTGTGTGGGGGGGGGGGGTCGGGAGGGGGGGGAGAGGTTGCCGCACGCTCTCATAGATGACAGCCCGCACGTATAGCCCAGTTGGTGCGACTCGCAGGGGCCCGGCTGCGGTCCACACCGCTCGTCAGCAGCCAGGCGCCCTGCCGCGCAATAACGCCGTGCTCGCGCGCGGGTAGGGCGGCCAAGGAGGAGGACAAGGTGCAGTACAGGGCACACGCTTCCGACCAGGTGCTCGGCACATCCCTCCGTCACTGACCACCCCTGTCGCACTGGCGGCTTCTCCTTGCACCCCACCTGCAGATGAGCCCCCCGAGAGAGTAGCCCAGCAGGGACAACCGCGCCACCCTGTGGCCGTCGAGCCGCAGCTGCGCGGTGCGCGCCAGGATGAGCTGCGCCAGGCGGTCCCCGCAAGTGTCTATGCCGTCGTGCGTCCGGCGGCGCTCGTTGACAGCTGTTTGGGTGAGAGGTTCAATTCACAAGCCGCAACATTGGCAAAACGCTTGGGGCTCCCTTGAGTGGGGGCGCGAGGGTGGGCCGCGCCTTCACAGGCCTGCAGAAGGCGACTTTGCTTCGTGCGCCCCCCCCCCCTTTCCTCGCAGACGGCTGCTTGCTGCACCAACGACGGCCTTGCCAACACCCCATCAAGCGGCACGCACATCAGCATGCATGCCAGCACGCGGCGCCGCAGCACGCTGCGCGTTTCCCCGCCCTGCAGCAGCGCCGCCCCGCGCGGCCGCACCGCTGTTCTCCATAACGATGCGCTCCGGCCCCGCCAGCGCCTGGAGCGCCGCCTCCAGCCGCTCCTGCAGCGCGCCCAGGTTCTGCGGGGTGCCCCACAGCCCGTGCTGGAGCACCACCAGGTGCACCGCCGCGGCGGCGTCGACGTCCGCACTGGCCACCGCCGCCATGGCGGCTGCTGCGGGGCAAGGAGCAAGCGCCGCAGGGGCCGGGCCGTACGCAGGGCCCTCCGCCGTGGCGTCTGCGGGGAAGCAGTGCAGGGGCAGGGAGGCAGGCAATTAGCGTGTGCATCGGGACGCAGGGTTGTGGGGAGAGAGAGAGTTCCAGCGGTACTTGGAAACCAGTTGCGCCCCCCACCACATGCTCGCCCCGTGCGCTGCTTGCAGGGATGTGGGGCTCTCCTGCGGCGTGTGCACGGCCGCGCCGCATCCTACGCACCACAATGCGCCTCGTTGCTCAGGCGCTGCCGGGTGACAAAGAGCGCTGCGCTCCAGCGTGAGCGGATTGTATTGCCGCGCCGCGGAAGGCAACGGCAAGGACCGGCAGCACGCGTTCCTCTGTCAGAGCTGGGTCAGACGCCTACGGAGCGCGGCACAAAATCGTGTTCTTGGATTTTGGGGCCGCGTGTGATTGTCGTTGCCAAAGGGTGCGCCAGCCGACGAATATGTCTTCGATTCGTGTGGTCCCGCGTGGCGATAGGTCTGGGGTATTGAAAAACCGCTTGAGAGAGGTATACTGACAAGGACTGCCCTCCATCCGTCATGATTTTGCAGAGTCACCAGCACAGTCACCAGCTGGGGCAAACGCATGGTGCAGTCCAACAGGGGGGTAACCGTGGGGAGGCAAGGCCGTGGCGGTATATACTCAGCTGAATTTTTGGATAAATATGTTTGACATGTACGCTGCTCCAGGATCAGCAAGATTGTGTGATCTAGGCCCATTGTTTCTGCTCCTTGATTCGGCTCGTTAGCGCAATGCAGCAGCTGACTGGAAATAATAGTAAGGTCTACATTACACACCAATACCAAAGCGCTCGCAGTGGGCGCGCCAGGGGCCCGCTCCGTGTGCGTTGCTCTTTCTCGCAGAGGCCGAGCACAACCGAGACCCGGGAGAGGCTCCTCGACAACTACTGGGAGGTAGGTTTGCTGCTTGGACTTTGGCACGCTGCAAACGGAGCTGTCAAACCGCAATGCAGCAGCGCCGCTGCTGCTTCCTTCATGGGCCGACATCGCAAGGCTTGGGCCAACAGCGCAATGCTCCTTCCTTCAGCATGCCACACTTCAATGGACCCCATACGCGCAAAATTCTCTGAATGTTTGAAGGCTCGCGGAGTCTTTGACACTGCGCGACGGCAGCAGCTCGTCAGCGTGGCGCAGCAGCTGGTACAGAGCACAGGCGAGGGGCCGACTATGGGCATAGTGGGTGAGGGTGAGGCAGGCGGCGTGCTGCCAGGCGTGCCCACCACCTGGGACATGCACAGCTCAACTCCAGAGGTGCGTGTGACGGGGGTCTGTCCGCGGCAACGTCGGTTAGCACATGGTCAAGGGGCGGGGGTGAACGAGCAGGGCACCGGCGCAGCGTGCTTATTCGCACACGCTGAGTTTGGCGAGCCCCCTGTTGCCGCGCACAACCTGCCCTAGCCCCACCTGCCCTACACTCCAGATCACGGAAGTGTCTCGCCGCCTGATGGCGCTGCATTCAGTGCTGGGCGGTGGCGACGATGTGGACACTGTGTGGATGGTGGTGCGCGAGCCGCAGCTGCTGGTGGCGGACCCCTCAGACCTCATGCGGCGGCTCATGGCCATGAAGGTGGGTGTGCAGGGCGAGAGGGACCAGGGGCAGGGACAGCGGCGTGCTCCATCCAAAGCCACTGATGGCGTCGTGTGAGTACTCGTGTGCCGTTTCAATACCCGCGCCGCGCCACCGCTGCGACCGCAGATCGCATCAGCGGGCACCGGGCTGGACGTGGTCAAAGTGGCGGAGGCTCAGCCAGGGCTGCTGCTGCTGCAGGGTGCTGTGTGGGAGGACCTCGACTCCCTGAGGGAGCAGCTGGCGGTGAGACTCGGCACTGGCACGGCCCTCAGGGAGGCCGGGGGCATGCGCCTCGCGAGCTTGGTCACAAGCTTCGAGCCTGGCTGGGCTGAGGGTGGCAGCATCTGAAGGGACCTGCTACGCATGCATCCACAATGGCTGGTGCTATTCGACAAGTGCGCTGTCCGGCTACCCTGTCCAGGCTGCCGCCCTGTCGCCCTGTCACCCCACCACCACTCTGCCCCTCAGTCCTGGGAGCACGGGCTGGCGAGCGACACCGACCCCGAGTGGTCCCTGCGCCTGGACCAGCTGCGTGCCTACCACCGCGCGCACGGCGACTGCAGCGTGGGCTGCAGGGAGGGCGACAACAGAGAGCTGGCGCGGTGGGTGGTGGGCGCTGTGGAGTTGAGGGTTGGGTCACAAAGCCCTGGCTTGCTGGCGGTTCAAGGGAGGAGTCAGCAGTGGCGGCCAATGCAGGCCCGAGCCCCCCTTGGCGCTGGGCTACAGCGTGCTGCAATTGTGCAGCCGTGAGCGGCCCGCAGCGCAGCAAGAGGCTGTGGTGGTGACCCGCTGACAGCTTGAAGCTACGCTCAGCCTTGTAGGCGCAAGGCCACAGCGTGCACATCATGCGCCGCACCCCTGCCCCTTCCAGGTGGGCGGCCAAGCAGCGCGCGGAGCGGTCGCGGGGCGAGCTGAGCTCTGAGAAGGCGGAGGCATTGGTGGCCCTGGGCTTTGAGTGGGACGAGGACGAGGCAGAGTGGCTGCGGTGGTTCATCGACCTGGCCAGGTGGGGCCGCGACCACAGGAACGGCCCTCAAACCCCAGCCGGCCTCTTGCTTGGCTGATGCCGCCTGCAGGCCTTTCCTTCCGGACCCCTGGCCTGCCGGCCCACCCCCTCAAACACACACGCACGCGCGCACGCACACACGTATACACACACACACAATCACACACACATTAGGTTCAAGGAGGTCCACGGCCACGCCAGCCCCATGCAGATGTCCACAGGCGCTGACTTGTGAGCTGGGTTGGGCAGGGCCACGTGAGCGCCTCGCCACGTCAACCATGGCAGGATGTGACGTGACGTGACGTGACGCGGTCAGACACAGCCATCCCGTCCGTTCGGCTTGACCCCTGCCCGCTCACCCCTCCCCTCCGCCCCATGCTGGCCCCCACAGCTACTTGATAAACTGGTGCAGTGTCCAGCGCGTCGCGCACCGCTGCCGCGCCCTCAGCGCGCGGAGAGAGGCGCTGCTCGACTCCATAGCGTTTGACTGGACGGGGGCTGATCCGCTGTCATGAAGAGGGAGGGCGGCACGCAGCATACTCGGGCGTGGTGCCCACGGAGCGGTCTTGCCCCCTCTGTATGTGCATGCCTTGAGCAAACTTTTTTCGGTGTCCTGCATGCGCACAACCCAACAGGCGCATTGTTCCCGCACCACGCGATGAGCGCGTGTTGCAGCTGGGTGCAGTGATCTTGGCTGCAATGTGTTCCTGCCAGCATGCGTCGACGACAGTCGGACTTTGTTTTTTCCAAAGCAGTGCACGATGAAGCCCTGCAGTCTGCTTGAAGAATCCAGGCGCCCTCCTGTGAGTGCATTGCAAAGTATGCCACATACGCACCAACGCAAAACAGACCAAGGACTGACCTACGCTGTGCGCTGCACCATAGCTACATGCGACATGAGATTTATTCAGCTGCTGACTTGTAAATACACAGCTGCAGTATTTGTGACTGGCCGCAACGCGCCATTCGATGGGTGCCACTGTTTAACTTTGATTTGCGACGCCGACGCCTGCACGGAAGCTGGCCGTGGTGCAGCTGGCAGCAGGAGAGACGGGTATAGGGTCCGCAGCGAATCATGTATGTGGCAGCCATCTCGCAAAAGCAAGATACTGTAGGCGCGGTTGCGCGCTCAACAGTTCGTAATCGAGTCGCGAGCGTACTTCGTGAGCAAAACAGAGAACAATCACTTGGACGTCACAAGAAATTGCGTACCGTCACTCCAGGCCTGAAGCAGCGCCTGCTCGCCACGCTGCGTTCTGCTGCGCCGCTGCCGCCGCCGCTGCAGGCTGGCAAGCGCAATGAGCCCCTCTCGTGCGTCGTCTTTGGAGTTCCCGGGGACACCCTCTGGTTCTCTGGTCGGTCTCAACGCGGCGCTGCGCAAGTCCGTGGAGTCGGCACTCAGCCATGGCAACCTCTTCACAACACACGCACCCTTTGATGCACCACTCATGGATGGGCCCCTGGGCCATGAGGGCGGCGGCGGCGATGAAGGCGAGGAGGCATCAATGCTGTCGCCGTTGGCGCGCGAGCCGGCTTGCAAAGGCGATGGCTCGCAGGCCACCTGGGCAGACGCAGTGGCAGAGATCCGCAGGTGCGTGCGTACCCTGGAGAGGGGGTTGCCACGCCCCGAGGCCCGCACAGCTTTGTCAACTATCAAGGCACCACCAACCTGCAGTGGTGCTAGCACGCTACAAGGAAATGGCGAAGCGTGCAACATATTCTCCTTTTTGCCCTTTGCGCATCATGCCACTCCCGCCAGGCTGCTGTCTCTTGCGGTCCCGCTGGTGCTGCAGTCGATGGCCTCGATGCTGCTGACCCTGGTGTCCACGGTCTTTGTGGGGCGCCTCAACGACGCGGTGGCGCTGGGGGGAGTGGTGCTGGCCAGCAGTGTCTACAACGTGACGGGGATCAGTATGTGAGGCCGGGCCTTGGGGCGGGGCACGAGAGCTGCCTGCTGCTGGACCGCACCGCACCCCTAAACATGTGACGTGGCGGGGGGCTTGAGTGAGGCGCAGGCAGCAGCTCTGCCTGACTTCATTCGCTTGACTGTTCATCGTGTGGGGGTGGGAAGAGTACAGCTCGATGAGGTTGCGTGCGGTCAGAGGAGAGGGGGTGCCCGCCACACGGTAGCAGCCAGCAAGAATTGGCGGCCCAGGCCTGGGCGGTGGGGCGTTAATGCTGCGGTGCCGCCCTCGCCTTTTCCGCAGGGTCATAGGGCTTTCAAGTGCGCTAGACACGCTGTGTGGTCAGGTGGGGTGTGGAGCAACGCTGGGCTGGGGGTTGTGAGGGAGTCGACTCTGTGGAGCCCTCGTTACCCCATACGTGTGTCCTGCTGCAGCTGCGATAATGTCATCGCACACCCCTTTGGCCCGTGCCCATCCTGCACCACGCCAGGCGTATGGTGCGCGGCAGTACAAGCTGCTGGGGGTGTACCGCCAGAGGGCGCAGCTCATCTGCTGGACCCTGTGCCTGCCCATCGCAGCCGTCTGGCTCAACGTGAGCGGTGCCAGGGACACACCGCACCGCAGCGAGCCGTGTTGGGGGCAAGTAGTTGTATCAGGGGGTTTGAGCCACATCGGCGGTCCTGCTGGCAGTTGTGCCTCAAGTTTCCAGCGGCTGGTGTTGCACAGCGCCCCTACCTGCGCACTCACCGCCACCCCTCCTGCGCTGTCTCCCCCTTCCAGGCCCATTCCTTGCTGCTAGCGATAGGCCAAGAGCCGGCAATTGTTGATGTGGCCGCCCGGTAAGGGAGCGCGAGAAGTTGATTCGTGCAACTGTATGACACTCTGACAACTGTTTGTCTGCTGGCCGCATCGTCTTCCACCGCGATGAGTGGGGCAGGGATTGACAGCAGGCACACCCTCTGGTTTGCAGGTAGTGGAGGCCCAAGGCGCCTCCGTGTTTGCCACTCCGCCTGGCCTCTCCTTTCGCAACCTGGTTCCCTCAATCGTCCCAACACCTCACTGCTAACGCGCCCACCATCCTGCTCCCCAGCTACATGCACATCCTCACGCCGTCGCTCTTCATATCTGTGGTGTCGGACACGTGCCGCCGCTACCTGCTGGCGCAGCGCGTGGTGGTGCCGGGGATGGTGGCCTCCATTGCCACCGTGAGGCCCGCGGGCTGGAAAGGGGGACTGCTGTTCCCGTGACTAGGAAATCACAGGCAGGCGCATGCGGTGTCGCGGGTCGTAGACTTGCGAAGCAACAGCAGACTTCACACTCGCCTGACATGGCGCTGGCGGGCTCACGTTACGCCGCCCCCTTCCCCCCCCCCCCCCCCCCCCCCCCCCC